GATGGCATGAAGGTGGTAGCATTCCTGCGTTGGTTTCTCAGATCACCGCCGTGGGTTAGCCTTCCACTGAGAAGAGTGTGTCTTGTTAGTCGTCGTTTCACACTATCGCTCCAGCCTCACCACGTAGTCTCTGCTTCATCCTCCTCCTCCTCCTCCTCCTCCTCCTCTTCTTCTTCTTCTGATTCCTATTACATAAACTACCATGGAACGCAGAGTTATGCAGATTGCGATACTTTTCAGGTACGCAAATGTGTTATCAGCGTGGCTACTGTATATTATGGGTTTATTGTGTCCGAAGCCGACCCCTCCCCTTCTTGCAGACCACTTTCTCTAGCGTTTGGGGTCCAAAACGAGATTTATTGTTTTGGCCACGTCCGTTCTCATAGATTTCCGCTGGTTAATCTTAGGTAGATTTTGGAGATGCTCAAAATCAGAAAATCCCAGTCCTTGGTCGTACCTATATTTAGAATGTCTGCACGCAAGTTCGAGTAAATGAGCATGAAATGCAATGTCGCGTGGAAAGACGCTGCTGCTTTATTATTACTGAGTTTTCAGTTTTGAGAGGTGCAAGAAAAACTGCGACAGCTTTAATCTGCGAGGTGCCTAACGGGAGAAGCTGGTGGTAGAATTGTTTTTTTTTTGTGGTAGCCTTCGTTCACTAGGCTTCTCGAATTTATGGTATTTTGGGCCTGCAGCTTAGTGCCACAAGATCGGATGTTCGTGTGCCTCAGAGCTGGCAGGTCGACAGATGCGAGTCAAGGACCTCCAAGTTGTCAATGAAAAACCCGATTTTGCTTGCAGATGCTGACGTTGATTTTTCTTTCAAACATAAAGGGCCAATTGCACAAACTTAACAGGACAGTCTTCACCGGGTTCAGACCGCACGTGCGGGGGTGCGCGTGGCTAGAGTTCGTCCGGGGCACATCGAGGTCATGCTACAGATCGACTACTCTGCTGACTACACGCCGGACCCGTGGGTTGTTTACTTTGCTGATAGCTGTTTTGCATACTTACCGAATCTGTTTCCTGAATCATCCGTCTCCATCCCTTCATTGGCACCACCATAACCCTAGTAGTCTCGGGGCTCACATAACCCTCATATGGTTGCAGCGAGGAGGGACGACAAATAATGCGGGTAGATTGATACAGCACTGTTTCGGACTTATTGTGCCTTCATTCAACCAATCGTAACACTGACCAACAGCTGGGACCAGAAACACAGACATGCGCACAGACGCACCTGGCACAGTTGATCCACCACTGTCGTCCCTCCTCGCTGCTATTATGACTTGGCCGACTTCGGCCTGGTAATTGGTTGACTGTCCATGACCTTTGCCACCCATACGGAGCTTGTTTGCTTCGTGAAGCCAATAGATCGGTGTGCGCCCGTTCCTGATCTCATATAATTCTCGATCTTCAGTCTATGTTGTCCATTGAATACCATCCGGGACAGTAATTGTCCTGACTGAGGTTTCACAATGCAGCTAGTAGACAAACTCAAGCCTTATTGAGACCAATTTCAACGGTTTGTCAGACGGTGATTCGCATGACCAGGTTTGTCTCCAAGACTGTCTTACAAATGAGTGTTGAACGCAAGGTGGCCCTTTACAAAACCAGTTCCCTGACAGTGAGGACTAACAAGATCACCGGATTATTCGACGGAGCATTCTCTTTTAATGCCAAGAGGGTTCTCATCCGCCGTCGGGTCAAAATGATCAACTACTTATTTTCGTGTGGACAGATGCTCTCACACACTT